GTGAAAGAGATATGCCTGATTGAATAGGTAGAGGACACAATTTGACAATTGGTCTGGTGAAAAGGCCGTGTTGCGTTCGAACGTCGGCGACTCGCGCTTTATCATCGGAGACAAGATAGACCTTTTCAATGCATCCTAAACGGCATTCATTGGGTGGCGTTAGTTCGTTTTTGATGACGACAAAATCGTTCACTTTGAGATCCTTTTGTGGATATTTCCATTTATATCTTTTATGCAATTCCTTCAGATATTCTTCTTTCCAACGAACAATGAAGTACTGATGGAGAAGTTTTAATTTTTCCCAACGGTTAAGAGATAAGGGGCGAGAGTTGAGTACCGATTCGATGCGGGCGAGTAATGTAGCGAATCCTTCAAAGGTGAAGTGCATATTTCCAGCTACTCGTTTGAGATGTAATTTCAAACTCTTAGCCGCAGCTTCTCATAAGCCGCCCATCTGAGGTGCGTTTGGAGGAATAAAGTGCCATTAAAATCCGTGAATAGTGTATTTCGAGCGGATAAGGGCACGACTTGCTCCGAAAAAGTTTTTCCCGCTGTCCGAAAAGATAAGTTGAGGTAGGCCACGTCGACCAACGAATCTAGAGAAAGCTGCTTGGAAGGCTTTTGTAGAAAGATCGGCGCAGAGTTCCAAGTGTATCGCTTTAGTAGAAAAGCATACGAAAACGCATACATACCCCTTGAGAAAGGCTGTCTTACGAGTGTTAGCTGATTTTATATTAAAGGGTCCAGCAAAGTCGATGCCCGTTCGAGTAAATTGTAAAGAATAAGTGGATCTTTCTGGTGGTAATGCTGCCATAATTTGTTACTTATGAATCGTACATATTTTACAATTGAAAATAGTTGGTTTGACTTTAAGTTTAAGTCTCGGGATAATATATTCCTGTTTGGCTGCTCTGATCAGGAGTTTATGTTCTGCGTGCATTAGCAGATTGTGTACAAACTGGAGAAATAAGTAGCAGAATCTTGATGATTCTGGTAGAATAATTGGATGCCTTTCATTGTAAGAAAGCGAAGCATTTGCCAAACGTCCGTTTACTCTTAAAATGCCAACTTTATCCAGTAATGGATTTAACGAAAGGAGCGAGCTCCGTTTTGCGATTGGTTGAGAGTTTGGAAGTTTTAAATACTCGTCTGGAAAATGCCGTTTTTGGGCAAGAAATATTAGTCGCGTTTTCACAAAGTGAATTTCGGTTTGAGAGAGTACGGCGGTTACGTACGAAGGTTCTGGAGTGGACTGTATAAGATGTGGTTTGATTCAGTTAAAGAAACGAAGTATATAAGAAATAACTCCAACGGCCCTTGGCCAAGATGAAAATCGACTCAGAATATCAGGATCCTCTTGAAGGGTATGAAGAGTTTCAATTGTGCGAATCTCGGGTGGAATCACTTCTTGTTGAGAGGATATTGGCCATAGCTCCGGAGGTTTCACTAGCCATTCGGGGCCATGCCACCAAAGTGAGTTATGGACTAACTCTTGGGGCTTACACCCGCGTGTTCCCAAGTAAGCCGGGTTTGGTTGGATGAAATATGTCTCCATTTGACGTTGCCGACATTTGTAATTATTTGAGCTGTGCGGTTTGCCACATATACTTTCCAAGTACATGGTGGTTTTTCTAACCACGAGAGAACTATGGACGAATCGCACCAGAGGAATAACTCATATTTTCCGAGAGGAAACTGGGCAAGAACGTTTTTTATTGCTTTTGATAATAAAACTGCTCCGCTTAATTCTAAGCGCGGAAGGCTTATGGTTTTTAACTTTAGATTTCGAAAAGAGCAAGTGAGAAGTAACATGATTATCCTGTGACTGAGTGCGAATATAAATTGATGCACAGTAGCTTTCTCGGAAGAGTCACAAAACTCGTGAATTTGGATTTTTCAATCGGGAGCGAATTCTGTCCATCGGGGTATTTGAATTTGTTCAATTGCTGGCAAATCTACAACAAATTGATTCCACTTGTACAGTGAAAGTGGTTTGACGCATTCGTCCCATTCTGTGCCCTCTTTCCAAAGTTGTTGTAAAAGCATTTTTGATTGAATAATGATGGGCGATAGCCACCCTGCCGGGTCGAAAAGTTTCGACAGCGACGAAAGAATTTGACGCTTTATTGCATTTGTTGATGGGTTTATTGGCTTAATAGAATAGGAAAATGAATCGTTCAGGGCATTCCACCGTATGCCGAGAGTTTTAGTGGAGCTGGAACTATCAAACTTGAGGAAATTGAAGTCCAGCAAATCTTCTGTTGGTATATTTTTCAGAAGTTGTGGCTGATTGGCGGTAATCTTTTTCAGAGGAAATCCAGCCGATGATAAACACTGAATGAGCTGCAATTGTGCATTTAAAGATGATGAGATATCATGGCTCCCGGATAATATGTCACCGGCATATGTTTCCTCGATAAGAATACGTTTAGTTAATGGATAAGAGTGTGAGGAATGTTTTTCTAATTGGTGCAAAGTCCGGATAACCAAATATGGGGCGCAATTAACGCCGAAAGGGACTGTTTTGAGTGCAAAGTCACAGACTTTATTTTAATTTTTCCTACGGAAGAGGATGCGTTGAAATTCTTGATCCTGTTCGTGTACTAGGATCTGCCGGTACATTTTTTGGATGTCTCCATTGAAAACATAGCGGTAAAGTCGCCAATTTAATACTACGACCATTAAATCGGTGTGTAAAGTTGGACCTGTATGGAGCACATCATTAAGCGCAAGTCCGGTTTCCGAGGGCTTAGAGGCATTAAATAACACTCGTACTTTTGTTGACTTGCTTTCGGAAAGAATGACTGAATGGNTTTTTGGATGTCTCCATTGAAAACATAGCGGTAAAGTCGCCAATTTAATACTACGACCATTAAATCGGTGTGTAAAGTTGGACCTGTATGGAGCACATCATTAAGCGCAAGTCCGGTTTCCGAGGGCTTAGAGGCATTAAATAACACTCGTACTTTTGTTGACTTGCTTTCGGAAAGAATGACTGAATGGTGAGGTAAATAAAAAGATAGATATCTTCCATTATCATGGATTTCCTCAGAAGAGGTTGGTTTTATGTGCTCTAAAGTTAAGTATTCCTTCAATACTTGAGCGTATTCTTCTTTTAGGTCGGGATTTTCGGTGAGTGTATGTTCCATGCGAATAGCTTGCTTCATAGCTTGGGAACGAGAACGACCGAGACTGAGACTAGATGGAAATGCTTCTTTGACCGGAAGGCGAACAACGCAACGTCCGTACTCTTGACGGTAGGTTTTGTTGATATAAAATTGCTCACAGAAAACACCATCTTCGGATGGCTGACGTTGCTCGGGTAATTCTTCAATTTCCCAAAATTTTTGGAGTTGTGAATTCAAGTCCACAACGGGAATTTCTCGTTTAATGATTCCACTGAGGTACCAACCAAATATATAATTTTACGCCAAAAGATGTCCGAAGACATTATGTCGCACACCCTCCAGAAGAACTTGTGGCATTAAATCGCTGCCAATAATGATATCGATCTGAGAGGGTTTAAAAAAATATGGATCGGCAAGATTTATATCTGTTAGTTCGGAGAACTTTGGTTTTTCCATTTGGGAGGTTCGAAGAAAACAGTTGCTTTGGCTTCTATACGGATATTGTTTCTTTTTGCAAAAAGGATAAGATGGCGTACTCGATTGCTGTTTTCGACCATTGAACCGTCCATGCTGATTATGGAAAAGTTCTCTTTGGTTGTCGGAAGTTGAAGCTTTTTTTGAGCTTTCTCTGATATACAAGTTTTTTGCGACCCCTGGTCGATGAGAGCCCTGAGTGAGTATAATTCACTAAAGTGTTCAACCTGTATGATTGCCGTAGGCAATAAAGTAGTTTCGTTTTTGCTAGAGAAGTTAGGTTAGATCACCGCAGCAGAACCCTCGGTGGTGGGACTGCTGTGCTGAGATAGTTCGAAAATAAGATGTTTCGATTTGGTCTGGTTAAATAAGGTTGGAGTAGATTGGTTTGATTGCGTATGCAATAACGAAGTTGAGTTGTTGGATGCTTTTGTTTGCTGTGACGAACATCAGGTTGATTGGTTGGATTAGACTCAGAGTGCAACAAGCTGTGATGCGACTTTTTGCAACGGAAACATTTATGGGTGCTTTTGCAGTCCTTTAATAGATGATTATATGCCAAGCAATACGCTATTGCTGGAATGCGTAGAGTTCTTGGCCCGCTTACACACGTTTGCGTACGGTGCTACTTTTCGCCAACTTTACGTCTGACGTGTAATTGGCGCTCCAACTTCCAATTCCTGCCTTGGAAGCAACTGCTGTGACGCTGAACGATGTAGTTACCTTTGGGCAGTTTTTTTCGAAAAATTATTTTAAGTTATAGATGTGTACGCGCGAAACTATACATTTAACTTTGACAAAAATGGCAGTTGCGAACGAATAATATAGCGGCGAGTAGCAAATTTCGAACTTCTAATAGTTAGTGGTTGCTAGCTCGCAAGGACCATTGTACACATGAGAATTTAATTTATTCAAGTAAATGTATAGTTTTTACATGTGCAAATGAATTGGAAGTTAACGCAAAGCATACATGTATATGTATATGTATGGAATATTAATTTACGTGAAAGTATTTTATGCAAAGGGTATTGAATAAATAAATGCTTGCACACATCAATAAGAATTAACTTCAGAAATTATTCAATATGTATACTTATGTGTTGAAACGGTTAAAAAGATGATAATCATGAGTGGTTGATTGGTGAATATAAATGCTCCTGATGCGGTTGATGAATTCGTCTCGATGCGACGAATCAAAAGGTGAGGTAAAAAAGAGGCCGTATGCGCGAAATGCACCCGTATTTATGTCAGTTACAATGGCAACCTTTGGTTTCCATTGGAGCGAGTTCGAAAAAAGGGTGGACGTAGTCCGGCCGCACGAGGATGCATTTTTAAGGGCACAGGTCCCTTAAACACCTTCTATTTTTGTATCGTGGTTTTAATATACATTTTGTTAATTTTCTTTTTTCAGTAAGCTAACTTCTCAATGTGTAAGCATTGCGTAATCAAAACGAGACAGTCTAGTACCGTTTTTCCATGTTTATTTATAAACGTATCTGTACGTGTATTTGTACATGTTTATTGATATATCTATACTGTAATGTTTTCGGACGCTACTAGCTGCTACTGCCAGTATAATAGACTTACATATGTATATGGTCAACATTTTTCTCTTTAACGTTACAGTCGCACATATATTTATGGAAAGTTGTGTAAAAACCGGAAGTTTTTCATTTATCCTGATAACAATCCCCAAAAGCTACATTTTATATGCAGGCACTTGTTTCCTATCTTTTGTTGTTTTAAAGATAAATATGGTTTTAGGTGGTCTTTAACGTTACATTTTTTTTGAAGTCAGTAATCTATATATAACGTCACACGTAAGGAAAACTTGGCGAATCCTGCAAACCTAAAAATTAAACTAAAGTATTTTAATAAAGATCAAGGTTCAAGGAAACCAGTGATGGAAAATCAAAATTTAAAAATTTTTTCCGAAAAAATGTGCCTAAATGGAGGCCAATGTGCCGATAAATTAAAAATCGCCGATGGGAACCATTTCGTCGATAGTTTTGCAAAACCGCCCATCGATCAATTGTAAAACCGCCTAGCTTACGGCACTCAAATTTTACAGGAGAGCGAAAAAACGGATTTTCTTTGAAGGCATTGCCTTGATAGGCGGTATTTTCTCTCGCTATTATTTTACAAATCTGTTGTTTTAATAACGATTTTACGGTTTTTATGCATAAATCTGGAGTTCGGGGTTACCATATCTTATTTTTGCCACAACGGCGATTTGGGCGGTTTCGCAATTGGTCGATGGCCGGTTTTGCAAAAACATGGACGATTTCCTATTTAAAGTACATATATTTATAGTGCTTATTGCATCAAGTCTCACGGAAAACCTGTGTGAAATGCATACTTTCTTTATGAAGAATAGAAAGATCATTTTATATACCCTTTAATATATACTTTATATTTTAATAAAATGTATTTAATTACAGAGTAGCACCCCATATTTCTATCTCTATTATAGTAAATTAAACAATATTTAAAAGTATTTCACTGATTTATCGAATTATCACAAAAATTATTGGGAAAATATAACTTTACAAAATAAAACGTAACAAAGTGTACATACATATTATATATATATATATGTACTCATTAGGGATGTTAATTTTTCGGCTTTTTGCGATCCCGGGATTTTCGGGATGGCGTTGTCACAATCCCGGGATCCCGGGATTAGTCCCGGGATTTAGATATTCATTACTTTTCAACAACTTGAATCGAAAAAATTGATTCTATATTGTTTGAGAAGCTCTCCTACCATGAAATAAATGGGTTTGAGACCCACTTTTTTATTTAAAGGGGCGTTTTATTTTATTTTTCTCTGACCGCACGATTTATTTTGAAGAACTTTGTAATTTCAGAGATATGATTAATTCCAAAAATTGTTAAAAAATTTTGAATAAAAGTATGGGTAACAAATGCAATAGGAAATTTCTTTAGAATTTAAAAAATTTAAATTTTTTGGATTCACAATGACGAATAGGTAATTTTTAAGCTAGCAAAGTTAGAAGACCGAAATTCGAGGATATTATCGAGTTTATATAAGCCCTTAACATATAATTTTTTTTCAAAAACAAATATTGCGAAATTTCAAGGAGAAAATTTTAACATGACATTTTCAATATCTACCAGCCATTCTGCACCAGAAACCTGAATCTGTTTAAATTCTACAGGATTTTCTCATTAATTTTATACCCATACTTCTTCTCTAAGCACATTTCTATGAGTTTTTAAAATCATTTTTGAATTACTGACGTCAGAGTAAAAAAACTAAAAACGCAATTTTACTATATTTGGCCCAAGGTTTCGCGAATATATTGATATTTGTGTTTAAAATTTACTATCGCGCGGTTTTATATGTATAATGAGCTAGACATTTATAAAAAAAATTCTAATTATTAAATTAAAAAAGAAATATAGCCAATACTGGTCAAGAAAAGAAGTTTCTATTATTGTCATCAGTGTAAATGACAATTCCCCGAAATCCCGGGATTACTTGCCAAGGGATTTTCTAGACCTTAAAAGTCCAGGATCAGGGGATCCCGGGATTAACTTTCCTAGTATTCATATGTTCATGAAAAAAGCTGCGTGACATATTAACAAGTTTTCACAATATAATAACCTTTTATGTAATTTTATTTTATTTTTTATAAAAACAGTAGAAGTAAACAACAAAACCATAAAAATCAAAGTTTTAAACTTTCTACAAAAAAAATTTCATTAAAATTTAAAATTTTGTTGTAAGAACCTTTAGAAAACTTTCGGGTATGCTGATTTATAGTTAATGGCCTATAGCAGGGGCTCCCAAACTATTTTCACCTCGGCACCCTTGTTGTGCTAAAAAAATTTCGCGGCGCCCCTACTCTTCAAATGTCTACGAAAACAAGAAAACACAATGCAAACTTTATGCTACTTTAGCTTTAATGTGAGGACTGAAATTGTTTTGATGATCTCATTATTTTCTTTAAGTTTATTGGGAGCTTTGACAATCTTACCTTGAAATCATTTGACGCTGAAAGCTTGCTGGGGTATTTGTTTTTAACCGACTTCACAAAAAGGAAAAGGTTATCAATTCGTCGGAATATTTTTTTATTATTTTTTCTGTGTATGCTACCGAATAACTTTGAACCACGTTAACCGATTACTATAATTCTTTTTTAAAGGAAAGGTGTTACCTGACAGGTGGTCTAATTTGGTTTAAATCCGATCATTGGATCATGAATAGATTAACGATAATCTTAAATTCATAGATGGGAATTGGAATCGGTTTTGTTTTTTTTGCTTAAAAATTACTTGTTTATATAAGCATTTGTTGAAAATGCAGTCTCACATAGAAATGTAAAAGTAAGGCCCCTATTATGAGTTGCTTTCGACTGTGGTCGAAAGTGCTGATCGAACGAATTTTCATTTGGTATTATGACGTTCATTCGATGAAGAATAGCGCTTAGGTTGTTTACAATAGTATATTTTTCACCGCTGAGAAGTTTTGTTTACAAATCGAGCAAACTAAATAGTGTGCTTATACATATGTGTGTAAATTTGTGCAAATTAAAATGAAATAAAAAAGAAAGCGAGTTTATAAAAACGTGGTAAAAATTAGTACAACGGAGTTCTGGTTCAACGATTCGTCAGAGGATGAGAGCTTGGTATTTTGACATAAAATATATTTAAGAAATTTGTCTACAGATTTATTATAAACTTCCGACTGTCTAAAGAGGTGTTTGTAAGCCAAATATATTTCGTCGCTAGTGGCGTAAGTCGGAAGTACTTCGTTCTACTTCGATTTTCATTGCGAATGGGTACCTCACTAACACCAGAAGACTGCCTCTAAAATCTTGTTGATTCGCTCTTTGACAGTGTGATTGTGAAGTTCCAAAGAATAAGTAAGTGCGCCTGGGCCACAATGGAGAAGTGAAACTTACATACATATCCATTTTGTCTAATAACCAGGGAACGGATTTTATGGAAATTGCCTTTTTTTCTGCTAAAGAGATAGACTATATTCGATTAAGAATGTCCACGATTTAGCTTTCCCTGATTCCATATATACACATTTGATTTTGCCTTTTTTTGCCTTTTTTAAGATATTTGCCTTTTTTTGCCTTTTTTAAGATATTTGCCTTTTTTTGCCTTTTCTAAAAAAGTGATTATAGCATTACAATTTTTTTTTTAAGATTAAAAAATATACACATTGCCCATGCGGCTTATAGAAGCGCAGAGACCTCTTGCCAAATTGGTGTTGGAAAAATTCAAAGCCGTTTTCTCAGCTAACGTAGGCTTGAAGACAATAAGGGGTGTGGATAATATAGTAAAGGGCGAGGAAAGCGCCCTTATTTCTGATAATATGAACGTCTCAAACGTTCCATATTTAAATTGGGCTCCACTTGTATCAACTTACGTCGAGCGCACATTTAGTACATTCAAGGCTTTTCTTCGCGAAAATCGAATGAAAATGCTGCCAGAAAACTTCAAAATGCATCTTGTGGTTCAATGTTACTACAACTATACAGATTAAAGTTTTATGAGTTAGAAACTCGAAAGGATAAAATAGTCAAAGATTCAAAGTACAAATTTTTCATATAATGAAACTAGTTCATAGTTTTTCTCTTTTTACTTGTAATATATGTAAACATTTCTAAAATAAATGTATTTTTTGATTGTTCTTCGTATTTTCTGTCTTTTTTTAGTGCCTTTTTCTGCCTTTTTCGCTATTTTGTTTTGCCTTTTTTGCAACACCTAGTGCCTTTTCCTGCCTTTTTCACTATTTTATTTTGCCTTTTCCAGCCTATTTCGTTATTTTATTTTGCCTTTTTTATAGGTTTTTAGGTCCTAAAAATCCGTTCCCTGCTAATAACCAATATAGTACATACATACATATGTACATTAGACTGCATCGCTCCCCATACAAAGAAAAATCGGTACTATTTTTATTACCTTCCTTTTATTAGCTCGGGATGTAACAATGTAATATTGATGCGCCTAAAAGATGCAGCGATTTCTATTCTCAAGTTACATACCTGATGACGGTACGAATGGCAATTATAATAGGGAGGTTTGAGTTTTTTAAACTATAATTTTATTCCATTAGAATTATAAAATCTATTATATTTTAAGATATATGTATATTTCCGAAAAATATTAAGATTTAAGTGAGCTGGACCGATTTCAAAATACCTCCAAAAATGGAGTTTTCCATGAATAAAAATAGTCTCTTAAAGATTTTTTTTTGAAAAAATCCCCTCAAATGACAAAACGGTTTAAGCTTAAAAAATTTGCATGAAAATATTAAAAAAAAAAATTTTAACGGAATCGTAATGATGAGATTTTTTATGCTGTTAACTTTTTTCAAAGATTGGTATAAGAAAAACTTGAATAACTGAACCTAAGCTCTTCCGATTTAGACTTAAGATGTGTCATTGGA